TTCTTATTTCACAAATACTTGAGGTATTAAATCGAAATACTTACAAAAATATATTATCTGAAATATTCTTCATTATTTCACACTTCTGATATTTTTTAAAGCGAACATTATTAGAAACCTTTTAATTTTATATAATGCTTTTAGTACTTGGTTCAATTACATTTATAGATATTTCGCTTTTATTCTATTGTGCTGTATGTTCTTATATATCACTTTTATATTTATATATTTCTATTTATGTATTTTCATCTTCAACGTTTATCCATCAATTTTGCGCGTCGACCAAAGCCGACCCCGATGAACCCAGTCAATTACGGCATTTCTTCGCGAGGAGGCTCTTTGGGAAAAGTCCTTCCGTCCCTCGCGTATCCTTCGCCGTCGCACGCGGATGAACACGCGGTACGCCCCGGAAACGATGAATTTGCGAGTCTTAGGGGTGGATAATAGGCTGGTGCGGTACACCGTTGTAAACGCGGGGAATGAGAAGAAGCGGAGCGCAGTGACTCGGGCGAATTTGTGAAACGATTATAGAATCTGTCCGAGCGCGCACGCGGGGCCGGGGGTGAGTGCCCGGGGATGGGGAGGGATCCCTAGGAACATAACCCCTCCGTATTGTTGCTCTCTTCGACGGTTCACGCCGAATAAGTTTCGTATGACGACGTAATAGCGCGTCGCGACGATGAACAAACGTTTTCTCCCGTGTAATGACGAATGCATTTTGAATGTGGCATTAACGAGCAATTAATGATAGTGTGTTTTCTTGCGACAACAATATTCGATTATGATGTCAGCGTCTTTTTTTCGTGCACCGGTGATGAGAGATTTGTAACAAAATATTAGTAAGCATTTTTCCGACTAGGAAGCAATTTAAGAGGCTTTCATACTATGTGTCTGTTCTCTGTATTGTTACAACAAAGTTGATTTTGCATTGTAATGAGAAAAAGAGTTGTAAGATTATTTAGCTATTTTTATGATATATTAATTTTAATTCTAATTAATTATTCTTAATTGCTGTAAATCGTGTCTAATAGTTCCACAATATTTAGTATAAGTGGTATTATTATATTTTCTTCTTTAATATTATTAAATTAATTTACAGTAATCTAATATTTATTGTCCATTTATAAAGAAACTCTCAAAAAAAAAAAAACAATTAATTTTGTCACAGCAATCTAACATCAACGAAGTGATTCTATTGGATATTTCCATCGTTGCGAGCTAACTCGGCGGCGATAGATAACATCGAATAAGTTCAGTCCGCCGGAAACATAATTGCGATTTATGTCTTGCCATTGTTCGAGGGGGACCGTCTGCTCGCTAACCCCCTTTGAGACACATTTTAGGACATCCGAATAACCATAGGAAAATCTTTAATTCACCCCAGCCGCGCGCGCGCGCGTGTCCCCTCGCCTAAGCGAGCCGGAAATGATGAATTTGCGAGTCTTATCGCAAGGACGAAACGACGTTTCGCGACAGTACGAAAGTGGCAAATAAATAAGCTGTCCTTACAGACGGGAGACAATGCTCCCGGGGGCGTAATCCTTAGCGACTCGCCCTCCCATGATTACAAAATCTCTTATCGGAAATGACAGAATCGTGAGAGCAAAATTACAGACCTAACAGAAGGATCCGCTATTGTTCGCGCAGGCTTTTGAAATTTGACAGCTGGTCAAAATTACAGTCCCGAGAATTTATATATTTCGCGAGATAGCTCTTTGAGATTCGAGGGTTTGATAGCGGAAGGGAAGCATATTTTCGAGCTGTAGTCAAATCATTAATCACAAACGACTTGATTGCGACTATTGTATGTAATGCACGGCTGAAGACAATTAACGACGACTGCGGGGATTTAACACATTTTCACTATTCACCCAGTTCGAAGTTTAAGCAAACTTCACGATGCAAATGCCGGCGCTAAGCGAGCGTTCCAGTGTCTTATCGCGATGCTCCTTCTTGATACATACATTCAGCGGGAATGTACCGTTCGCGAAACTTATCACAATTTGTAAGCTTGGCTTCTTATATGTAAATTCTCCAGAGAATGAGGAAAAGCATTATCGTGATTGTTAACGTTGAAGCGTCAATGTTAATTTTTGCCGGAACAATTAAACTGATCAAGATGTGATTCATTTTATAGTAATGATAAATAATAATTATTACAATTATTAGAATGTTATAATTATATTCTAGATTGCTTTCAACTGAAATAAATTCAGCAAAGTATTTTTCAAAAATGCTTCCGGTTTATATAAAAGATACAGTGTTTAGTAAAATACTAGAAATCAAGTCCAAATAAATTTACATCAATTAGTCTTGGAAAATAATAATTTAAAAAAAGAACACGTTAAAATTAAGAAGCATCAGCATAAGTTTGTGCCGAAAAGAGCTTACGAGTCTTTCACATTCTTGATTAATAATTATCACATTCCACTGTGCAGTAAGATTTGGCAAGTCGTTACAACTTATAGAGAGATGTCTCAAAAGCGGCTTAAAATCCGCTAAACTTGCCGACGGCCAAAGCGGCGCATACTGGCGAAATCCTTTAATTGACCGCACGCAAGAACTCATCTCGATGAGTCTTAGGCCAATTAAGGAAGTTCCTCTGTTAGGAAGGTTTGTAACCTTTCCACATCCTTGCGCAAGCTATTATAGAAATTAACGGATCCCGGTTTCTCGAGCAACGCATTTGCATTATATTATCCGCGATGAAGTAATCATTTCGCGTGAGTTTAACGTTTCTTTTACGACACGTCAAAATTAACGGCAATAAAAACAAGCGAGTGATTTAGCTTACAGAGATTTAAAACATGCTTTAAAATCACTGTAATGAAATTAACAACGTAGATAACATATTATACACATATTTATCGATTTATTGGCAATTTTGTGACGCAGTATCTTCTCGCAGGATGATTATTTTTTTAACAAAGAAGTTTTATAAAACGCGCGTGTTAAAATATATAATCCGAGGATCGTCGAAAGTTGAAAGTAAATTCCATGGATAATAAATGAAAAATAAATTCGCGCAATAAAAACACTCGGCAAACTTTTCTCATTTTGCATAAAAATTCTAGTTATTCTCTTATTAATGTTACCCTTGTATCTGCCAGCAGCAGATCGCACGGGAGCTTTTCGCGGCGCGAGTACGGGAGAGAGATCGACTTTTTCCGCCAGCAATTTGCGGCGGTTTCAATTTTCGTGCCATTGTCGATTACGTCAGACGCGACCCGCGTCACACGCGAGTTGCTCACTCACGCCAGCGGCGTAGCCCGGCCCCGCTTCGCCTCGCGTTTTTTTTAAATCCGTATTCAATTATTTTTGCAGTATACACCTCTCCGCGGTTTCAGTATTTGCGAGATCAACTGTTACAGCGGCGCGCATGTACCGAGTGAGAGAAAAAAAAGGAGAATCATTTAGGCGAACTGGCCCCGATCCCGTATTTCGATTACACGGCTCGCTCATCGCATTGTGCGCGTATTGGAGCTTTTTTTTTTCCACCGGCCGTTCGATTTCTCTCCCGCGCATTGTGAAACGCTCGCACTGCCTAGTTTTTTTTTTTTTTTAACTAATTGATGATAACACGTGCGGCGGCAGCTTCCCCCGGCGCCCGCGCAAATCCCATTATCGCCCTACTTAATCGGCGTAATGCGAAAATCGACCGTCGATTGCTACGCGGGTGCTTTAAGCGCCCGTAATTAACCGCATCCGATCGTAAATCGGCGCTTCTAACACGCGCCACGAGAAATTCCCACGAACTTTACTGGCGTGAGCTCACCAGTCGCGGCAGCCGGCTCGCCGTAAATTCGATAATGATTCCCTCGTCGCGCCGTTATTTCCATTCGTCAGGTAGCTCAGGCTTACGTGCGCGAAGTTAACGAGCTAATGAGCTTGCGGACTCGGCGCACAGAGAAGAGGAGGTCGAGCGGGCATCTATTCTGCATTACGCCGCTGATGCAGCTCGCGCTCTGGATGACGGGCGAGACGAGTGAGATGAGGGGGGAGGGAAGGGGGGGGAGGCAGAAGGAGGAGGTCACGGAGCGTTTCCCAGTTAGGGCAATTCCGCACTTTCGCTCGCCGCAATTAATTAGCTCAATTCCCGCTTCCTGCTATGCCTGCCGTCGCCGCCGCCGCCGCCCTCGACGTCCGGGGGGCACCCGTCGTGCACGCTTGCATTCCGACGATGTGCGCATTCCGTTGTCATAGTTCACGCACGCACCTCGGTCCCCGACGGTGTTACGCGACGCGGACATGAGCGCCGAGACGGCGTCGATCTGCCTCTCCGTGTTGTGCATTTACGTGCTGACGGCACCGCCGACACCCCCGCCGCCGACATCGCCTCATCCCACTCGCGTGGGTAAGGCTGCAATCAGGTTAATCTCCTCGGGCTTATTTTAGACCGTGATTAAGCGGACAGGTTGATTTTTATATGTTTAACATGGGAAGTTTGGAAGGGCCGCTCGAAACATTGGCAAATTTATTTTTTCTCGCGAGAGATATGATTATATTTGTTTAAAGTCAAGTTGCGCGCCGACACTTTTAGAGGAATTACAATTTTAACAAAGATGCAGAACATAAATTATTGTACAGAGGATGAATAGAGATATGTTGTAAATACAAATTACAAAATTTAAGAATTTATAATGGATTTGCCAACAAGAAATTGGAACGTACGCAAGATATACTTATATAATACTTAAAATAAATGTCGTTGAAAATTGCGAGGGATGCTATCGTTTGCACGCTCTCTATTTCTATTTAAAGACATGTCTTCGCGATATTTGCGAGAGTATGTGCGATGATCGTCGGATCGCCTCATGTCATTATCGACGAATCACGTGCAATCGCTCTAGTCGCTCATCGAAACCGGTGTTTTTCATCGGCGTGTGTTTCGCAACGCTTGCGGTCATCTTTACTGCACATGCGAAAGTACACACACACACATACGCACCTGTTTTTCTTGCTAATATAATAACCGTCCACTTTCATGGATTTTTTTGCAGTTTACGCGAAAGCGGTAGACCCGCACTTGGAGATCTTACCGAGCACGATGCTGACGAGGCCGATTCACACTAGCGTCCTTATTACATGCAAACCAAAAGTGGACAATCCGGACCTCGTCTCGAACATGCAGTGGTTCGACCCGCAGGAACGCTTGATCGACCCTCTCAAGTAAGTTGACCGGCGTAATCTCTTCTTTTTGTTTATTAATAACATTTTCGAGGCAGAAGCGATTGCCCCAACGGTGTGCTTGTCTGTGTCATTTTACCTATAATTCTCCAATTAGATTAAAAAGGTGATGGTCAATTAATAAGAAATGTAAACTGCAACACTGTTGGCGCTACGATCCTGCAATCCTTTCCACTAAAATTTTTTTTTATTTTATACAAATAATTATAAGAATAATATTTAAATATAATAGTTCTCTCTTTTTTACATTTGATTTTTGCGAACAAAATACTCTATTTAATTATATTCTGACAAATATATATCAAATTTTGATGTTTGTCAATTTCTCTTAATTAAAAGAGATACGTAATGAGTTGATAAAAGAGGTAATATCTTTGAAATTACGATTAAAGTAGATAAAAAAATTTAAAATATCTATTCGCTATAATAATAATTACATTTTTATTATATCTATAGCTTCAATTGCTTATTATTGATGTAAGGCTTTATTGAAAATTCAAATTACTAATTGGAAAGATCGAGAAAGCATTTAATTTGGCAGTAGAAGAATATTGCATTTATACACAAGAAAACATATCCTAACACTAATTCAATAAATTTCTGTCACAGACTTATCGTCTTACCGCTTAAAAGGCGAGTATAAAACTCATTGAACCCTAAACGTTTAACTATAGTTGTACTCGTTCATTACTGTCTCCTGTGTCCGTCTTTCTCATTTGCTATACATTCACCGTCACTTCACTCCGAGTCCCCAACACGATCATTTTCCCACGGTGTAGCCACATTTCCCGCAGCCTGCGCCACGAAGCTCTTAATTGCTGCACCCGATTGCAGTTCGCGAACCGGCTATCGCTCGTTAAGCCGTTCGGGACTTTTCCGAACGCGCTCGTTCCGGTAATACCGAACCTGACTTATTGAACGCGCGCACATCCCGAAGCGAGAAAACTCGCGCTGGGCATTAAAAAAAAAAACTCATCGAGCGGCGAACGAATTTTTCGTTCGCATATTTACACGTGTAGAGTGACCTAGAATCGCATTTCCGTCGGATTCCGCGGTGGGTTTGGATGTGATTTCGTTTCGCGAGAATTTGATTATGATTTTAGTGAATTGTGATATCGAACAAATGAAGCTGTTAATGTTAATTTTTATTTGCGTTTTACTTTAAATAATTTAGAAGAGAGACCCTACTGTTTATTTACACTTTCAACATTTTATTCGCCAAACCATTTAATTTTTCACTTTAATCAGTTTTATGATTAAGCCGTTTTAGCTTGCCGACGAGTTAAAAACGGAGCACAACGCCATTTCTCTCGGACACGCGGCCTGTGTGTGTGTGTGTGTGTATGCTGTATGTCAGCGGTAATTAAGTGGCTTCATAATGGCGCAGTTCTGCGTATACTTGAAAACGCTGTTCGAGCTCACTTTGCAACATTTATATCTTTGTTCGTGCAAGTCTGTCGGGTATTGCTGTATTAGCGGCAAACAGTTAATCTATGTACCGCGCGTCGCTCATGCTGTATTTAATCCAGCGATCAAATAATCTAACGAACGTTAACCCCGGTAACTGATTCATCCAGTCGCGTGTTTGCACGATTACTCGAACCCCGAGTACGATTTGCATAATTAAGTACATTCGTCGTCAAGAGTGCCGCGTGTGATATTCCCGGGCAAAATCGTCCCGTTACGGGCAATTACACCACTCAATTACGTTCTCTCGATAGTGCTGTTGCACGAATACCAGCTGCTGCGAGGATTGATATATCGGGAATAAATTTAATTTCGAAATATTCACGTATTCGAAAAAGACGAGAGCAACGAGGATAAAAGAATGCTTTATCCAGGCTTTTTCTGCACAATTGACAGACCGTCACGATATCATGATCACTCTAAAGACCTTTTATCACATTTTTGTCGTGATTGCTTGCGTCTTTGTACTCATTCATCATCATGCCATCATTCATCATATTCACACATGTTCGACTGCTCCACGATGAATAAATTTATATTTATTCATTTTTTGCGCATTTGTATTTTTCGGTATTTTTCATTTATTTCACTCGAAATGTGAATCTTGATGCGCTACGCCCGACAGTTGTCCACTTTATAAAAATAGAAACACGATTGCCGTTTCGCGGAGCAGTCGTGCTTTGTGATCCTGCCACGTTTTGCGCGAGCCACGATTTTAATCCGCAAAATCTATGCTCGTAACCTACATCGTAAACGTCACGCGATATTACATCCGGCATCTCATCGCTCGACGCACTAGATGGAAATTGCTTGAATACATCATATCTCTTCGTGTACCTGTACTCACATCATTCGCCGATACGCCACACCATATCATGTAGTGTTGAATAATACGAGGTCATGCAAATGCATCTCGTTTACACGCCATTCTCACATCATCCGCGAAGAACGCGCATCGCGATGTCGCACGCCACACGACATCGTTGATCGTTATTTAATCGGTTTCTGTATTTTGACCGATTGGCGAATTGTCTCGCATATTGTGACAATATTCTCCACAGCAGGAACAATGCTTACTCGAAGCCATCCATGTACACCGAGTTGCACACCGATGGCAGTCTATCCCTGATTTTCAATTCTATCGAGGAGAAGCAGGCTGGCAAATACACTTGCAAGGGAACTTATACACGCAACGAAAACATGATGGCAATTGTGACGATCGATACCATTAGTGAGTATAAAATAGCAATTAAAATCTCGGCTGGTGCTTTAATTTTTGTGGGAAATTATTCCGATGGAATATCCCTTATTGAGGTATCGAATAATGTTTAATTAATTTCGTGATAGAAGAAATCCGTAGAGCATATATGATACACGCGTGAATTTATCATAACAGAATTTATAATAACAGAATTTATTAAAACTTTATTGAAAACTGCGTATGTACTTTCCAATTAAATGATGCAAATAATGAAACAACAGATAGTCTAATTTTCAGTTATTGAACTTTATAACGATGAAATGTGGGATTTTTCGCGGATTTAAAGCTCCTAAATTTGATATTTTTTCTCGAAAAATTTATTCGATATATGCAATATTCTTTACAAAAGAGAAATGCTCAATTTGTTACCAACAGTCGCAATCACATGGGACAACGCACCGGAAAACCAATATCCCATTCTGGGAGAAGACTATGCTGTTCAGTGTCAGGTACGCGCCAGACCTTCGCCTTCGATCGATTGGCTTTACAACGGAGAATTGATCAGAACAAACGATCACTACGTCATAGAGCCTTACTCTTTGAAGATCAAGAACGTTCAAGAGTCCGATGACGGTGTATACACTTGTCGTGCATCGGTGCAAACCACCGGAGAATTGAAAGAGCGACCCATTCGCGTTGAGGTACTGTAATTAATATCTTAATTAAATAGTATTGAATTCTTTCTTTAAAAAAGCACGTTACACCTATATATTTCGATAATAACGAAATTCATCGTCGCCACTTTTTTACCAATTAGTTCTTTCGTTGCGCTCAGTTTATATCGTGAGCGGTGAAGATTTTGATAAAATTTGATTTAATCAGTTGTGCATTTTCTTTTTATACTGTATTTAATATTTTTAAAAAATCGTTTTAATATATACAGCCAAAAGAGCAAGAGCTGGATCGATTTGCTCAAAAATTTCTTTTATTTATTATAAATTTCTACAGACGTTTCGGCCAAGGTACGTGGCCATCTTCAGTGTAATACAAAAATTATAAAATTTAGTACATGATTAGAAAAGCGTTGGTACTATTTTTTGACTGAGGAAACGCATCCTGTGATAAAACGTTTTATAATACAAAAATTATAAAATTTAGAACATGATTAGAAAAGCGTTGGTACTATTTTTTGACTAAGGAAACGCATCCTCTGATAAAACGTTTTATCAGAGGATGCGTTTCCTTAGTCAAAAAATAGTAGCAACGCTTTTCTAATCATGTACTAAATTTATAATTTTGTATTACACTGAAGATGGCCACGTACCTTGGCCGAAACGTCTGTAGAAATTTATAATAAATAAAAGGAATTTTTGAGCAAATCGATCCAGCTCTTGCTCTTTTGGCTGTATATAATAAAACGATTTTTAATTTAATTAAGGAAGAGCAATAACCAATTATTATTTGCATTTTTAATATTTTTAAGGCTAAATTGCGCATATATTACATAATTATTAAGTTTTTTACCGCAATAGTTTTTGTATATCAATTATCATGAGCTACTTTTGATTTAATTTTCACAAAACTCACGCGAGAAACTTAACTTTCCAAGTACTTATTTGATCCACAATTTTGTTTCAATAATGTTTTTTTAAATTAACATTTATAGGTGCACATAAGACCTACAATCGATGAGATTTTGAGTCCGGTGGACATCGTCGAGGGTGAGAACGCGAACATCGAGTGCAAGGCCAAGGGCAAGCCGCCACCGACAATCTCGTGGATCAAGTCGATCAGCCAGCAGAATCTTTCCAACGCCGATCGCTTTGGTGTGAATCCAGTGACGGGTCAGCTTACTATCACCAACGTACATCGCGACGATGCGGGCGAGTACCAGTGCATTGCGGAGAACCGCGCCAATATTACCAAGGCCAACATTCAGGTGAACGTGATTGTCAAACCGAAAATCATGGAGTTTGAGAACAGGACCTCGGTGGAGGGCAAGAGAGCGCAGATCGCGTGCAAAGCCTTCGGCCGGCCACCGCCCTCGGTAACGTTCCGAAAATTCACGGCCAACAAACCGTTCACGATGGGCGTTCAACCCAAGGACGATCGAATCATCATGGAGAATAAAACGAACGAATTGAGCGGCGAAACTATTGGCATCCTGACGATCGACAACGTTCTCACCGACAACGACGGTCTGTACGAATGCGTGGCGTCGAACGTAGGCGGCGTCACCTACAAGAATGGCCACTTGACTGTCGAATTTCCGCCATCCTTCCGCAGCATGCCGAACGTCACTGTCTATTCGTGGAATCAACGACCGGTTAATCTCACTTGCATTGCCGAGAGCATACCGAATGCGACAATAGAATGGCAGTTCGGCCATAATCCAATTGATCGGCTTGAGGAATATACTGGAGGATACATCAAGCAAATCGGCAACGGGCCGTACTCAGTTCTCAGAGTGGAGCCGTACAACCAAAGGTTGTACAACTATTACAGGTGCGTCGCTACAAATACGCACGGCAAGCGAGAGATTTTGATAGAGCTGAGAGAAGCGAAGGTACCCGACAATCTCCGTCAGGTCAAGATGATCGAAATGACAGCCACAACGATCCAGTTTGAACTGATACCGCCAGAAACTAGAGATCTGCCCATTGAAACTATCACCGTGCAATACAAAGAGAACACCCGAGAGACCTGGATACAAGCGAGAAACAAGACGTGGGTTATCGGTTTAAGTTTTTTTTTTTTTTTTTTTTTTTGGTTTAACTAAGATATTCTTTCCAATTTTTAATCAGTCGAATTTAACAGATTAAAAAACTAAACTAGAAAAATTCATGAATCAGATTTGAGACTTGGTATTTGAATTCTTCGAGAATTCTTAGATAATTAATCCCGTTTAAACTAATTTGTCGAATTAATTAACTCGGTTGTGTCTGAGATCACATGTCGCGATCTTTATGCTAAATATATATTTCTTAACTTAACTTTGATGTTATTTATAAGGACAGCGTGAAAAATCGTCCGATAGAAACTGCGGTGTTACGTATTTACATGCAAAAACAACAACAAATGATGCAATACAAAGTAGGATACTAGGTTGATATTTTAAATCTCAGAATGGTCGATCGCTGCTTTCCGTGTGACTTGATACTTATGTACCGATTGCCAAGCTCCTGAAATTATAATAGGATGGATGTCACGCGATCAATCGTCCCACTTTGCAGGTTCCGTATACGTCATCGAGGATTTAAAACCGCAGACGAACTATGAGTTTCGATTTGCAGTAAGGAACCAAGTTGGTATGAGCAACTGGGGTTCCAATTACGTTGAGACTATGCCCGGCAGGACGGTGCCGAACATACCGCGATTCGTGAGGAAGAAGTCACTCACCGATTACGAATTGTCGCCGTTCAACAACCAGTATGAGCTCAGCTGGGTGACGCCGCCTGATAACGGCGAGCCCATAGATAAGTACCTGATCAAGTATTGTGAAGTAACGCCCGGCACTTTCCAAGTGTTGGAGAACACCTGCGAGCGTACGGAAATTAACTCCCAGGGTAGGACAAGGCAGTATCTGAAGATGCTGAGGTCCGAAACCTTCTACAGAGTCGAGCTGCAGGCTCACAATGTGATGGGGTACAGCAAATCTGGAGTCCTCTCTTTTAAGACGGCTAGAGGTGAGTTACAATCTTTGCAATTGAATTCTCGGTGTCTCTTCGATCCAACGTAATTACTGCTATGACGTATTTATATTTCTCGTAATGATTTCCACTCGAGATATAATTCCCTCTGAGATATTTGTGCACGAAGCTACTGCACCGAATATTTTTTTTCTTCGCGATATCTTCAGATCGTTTGTCAGTTTGTCGCCCCTGTTTTTGTTTATTCAAGAAGGAGGGTAAAGGGTTTGAGGTCTTTCGTTTCTCTCGCCTGGGAGGGTTTTTCGCTCATTTCAATTATTTTTTTTATTCCTTGATTTTATCAATCATTTGAATTTTTCTCTATCGACGGCAAAATCATCTTGTTATCGCCAGAAAGGCCTAAATGATTACTTCGCTCGCTGTTCATTTATTTAAACAATTTTGTGTTTCATTTGTGACCATATTAGTAATAATATTTTAGTAGATTGTAATTTTATTAAAAAATACGTTTTTTTTTTTAAATATTTTTATCGTAATTTTTATATTTTTCTATTTTGCCAATTTACTTCTGAAAGCTTCATCTTGCATTTCTATCTTCGAATATATAATACGTATTTTATAAGAATAAACAATTTTTATATATTAATATACTCAAAATGTGAGTATTTCGATATATTTCGAATTTGTTGTCTCGTACATCTTCGCATGTTACAATTTTTATCTTCCATATCTTACGCAAAATAGAAAAATATTTCGATGAAAGTAGTATAAGCCGATTTCTTCTGGCGTTAATCAAGATTGTAGGATTTGGAGAAGCCCTCAGATCCCTCGACCCTGCGCAAGACACGAACTAGCTAAAGCTACCCGGTGACCGTCGGCTTGTAGAGAACGTTAGAATGTTTTACGTGACGACGAAATCTTACTGGAGCGGGGAAGATTTTGTTTACACAGAGCCTTTTTATCCATTCAGAAACTGTGGGCAGCACTGTGGACTACACAGTAGTATCTGATGCTGGTGATACTTGCAAGATCGCCGTGGCCGCCATTACCGCAGCAGTAATGCTCCTATCTCTAGCCATTTAGAGTCGTCGTCAGGGATATTAGCTCCTCGCGCGCTAATCCTCCTCCGTTTTGTTGTCGTGAAACGCGCGTGATAGGAAGCGAGGCGAGTTTCGCCGACCGTACAAGCGAGAGACACACACGCTCCACTAATATTAACACACACCCCATCGTGATTTTCTGCGGCTCTCTCGTGTTTCGTCCGAATCTGATCGGCTTTACCTTAGGTGAATCTCGGAGGCGGAGTGAGTTTACGAAAGTTTCGAGTGCGAGACACGACGGCGAAAGTTAATCGCGGGAACATTTATACACACTATTGTGTCGTTCATTTATATCCAGTTAGTAGTAAAAAAAAAACGAAATCGACAACGAAGAAGCTAAGCAATTCGACACGTTGACACGGGTACATTCCGAAGTAAAACGAGAGGTAGCATTTAAGTGGGTTTTGTATGATGAAAAGCGCGAGGAAGGTCGTGAAGCGAACTGTATTTATACTTATTCTTTGTTAAATGCTCACTTTTTTAGCATAAACGTACTGGTATGTTTGCTTTCTTTAATTTTTTTTTTATCTCTTTTTTTCTTTTTAAGTTTAAGGCTGTACTTTCTGGTGACTTGTAAAAGACGGGTGCTGGCAGTGCGCAAAAGATAATATGTAATCAAGACGTTTGTATTAATTACTTTAATTCGTGCTCCATTTTTTTTTCTTCTTTTTTATCAAAGCCAGACTCTCAATTTTCAACAAAGTTTGAGATAAGTCACGACAATGCATCGAATTTTACAGTTAGCTTTTGTACGGTATCTTATAGCGATAATTAGAAAGAAATGTGCTTCCTTATATATGTACGTTGGTTCGAGCATAAATTATTGAATAGGTGTGTGGCTATACGAGCGTGAGATTATAAGGTAGTGACTATAAGCGTGCTACTGCCCTAAATTGCCAATTACGTCTAGCAGGAAAGAGAAAAAGTCGATATTAAAAACGAATGGCCACGTTACAAATTGTGGCGACTCGTACAAATCATGCACGACTATAATATAATAACGTACTTCGTTAAATACTTGCAATTCGTACACCGTTTGCTGAGTTTGCCGATTAATATACGTCGAGAGTATTTTTAGACGAAAAACTTTTTTCACGTCTTCTGCGATCTGACTTTGACAAGAGCTGGTTGAAACACACGTTTGCCAATGATAAAACGGAATATGAGGGAGAGAGAGAAGAATAATACAGCGATTAAGGAAATGCAATTAAAGAGTATTCAGATACTCGCAGAGATCCATCATGGCTGTCAGAAAAACATTAATGAACTTACAAATGTAAGAAACGATAAGAAGAATTACGGTCCTTGTTAATATCTCTATAAAAAAAAAAAATCCGTTTTTATCGAAGCCGCGAAAGGCAACGTTTTACTCCTTCGTACGGGTCGACACTTATATGCACGCTTTCGCGTCCGTGCAATGCTCTTTTACGAGCCCAAGAATTTCACACGAGCGCGCGGAACTTTTTACAAAGTCGCGTCACGCACACAGGATCCCGGAAACTTTAATCCTAGAACCCGATTCTCTGTCTAACGCGAACGCAGATCTGAAGGCTATGAAGAAACGGTAGTGTGATAAAAGCGTAAAACGGTAGCAAAATATGTAATATATTTCGGAGCCATTTTATGCGAAAAATTTAAATTCCGATATTTTATTCGTGATATATTTGTGTGCTTTAGCATTATATAGTAATAAGATAACGCCAAATTTCTATAAGAGTAACTGACTTGATATGATTTATATGAAATCTGATTTACTTGGAGTAGCAATCTCAAATCTCATTTATCTTGAAACATGGTTATACTTAATCCTGCAGTCGGGTTTTAGGATTAATCGTGAAGTAGAACTCAAAAAAATTCGCACGTACGGGAGTCCGACGGTTCACACGACTGGCAGACTGGCAGTTTTCTTTTCCTTTGTTTTTTGTTTTTTTTTTACGTTGGATTGATTTCGTGCGATTGCATATAATTTTTCTCTCCTCTCTTGCCCTTGATTTGTTTATCATTTGCAATTCTTTTTTTGGGAAATCTCATTCAGTCATTAGTTTCGCTTAATTAGTTTTGAAATACGTGTTTAGTGTACGCATGATCTGTGTGTTACGATCATTACGATTATATGATTCTTATTACATTTACAATATAATTCTAAATTTATTATCGCTGCAATCCTTACGTATCGATAACCGCCGCTACTGACAGTAGCCGCCATCACCGCTACCGTAATTATCACTAGTGACCACTGTCGTGATTAATCACTAATCTCGGATGATAACAGGAATTGAGAGCGATCTAATTTCGATGAGTTCAAATTTGCGAGAGGCACGCGAATGTGAGCCAATAGATAGAATAATTGGAACACTTAGGTGAATTGCTGCATTAAATATAACAATGAAATATTCTGTAATAAACCAGATTGACCAGAGAATCTCAAATAAATCGGATCTGAATTAATAAGATTATGCGATAGCGTTTCGATGATATAAACGAATAACAGTTAACAAAATATAAATAAGTATTACAAAATTATTATGATTTTAAACTATTGTCAACTTCATGATTATTGACCGCGTAACTTTAACGGTGGAAAATTCACCGAATATTCCTTTCAACCGTTGGAAAGTTTTTGCGATCATACTTTTCAATGGAAAAGCGCGACAATTGGTGTAAAGTGCATTTTCCTTTCGCGTCGAAAAATTGAACTCTGCGAAATTATACGATTTCGATCCTGGGATGAGAGACTACAAAAGGAGCGCGGTTCGATCTCGAAGGCCTGGTCGTATCCGGAACGGGCGGTCTTTTACCTCAAGTGCCTGTACACATACATACACACATATATACGCATTGATCGCCTCCTCGAGGTTCGCGCGAAAACACCGACGATCGATCTTGATGTGACGAGGTCTTCGACCCATATCTTTTTTACGTACTTTTTATGTCTGTTCGCAATGCCTGGGTTCTTAGATAATAGTCCACAACGCATGGCATGCGCTTTGTTATCATCCACCCCTCTTTTTTTTTCAACTTAGCGATGCGTCGCGCCAAGTTTCGTCGGCGATGTTCCCATTCCACACACGACGTTCCCGTTTCGATGGAGAACGCGAAGAACGTGGAGAACCCGTCCGCAAGTTCTTCGGCGTCTCTCCGACAAAGATGATCGTATCGGATTTTGATGATGAATTTTTCTAGCGAACCTGAAGTCGACTTTTTGTAGCAAGAATTTCAAAAATTATGTAATCGGGGATTTAACATTGACAATTGAAATATGTTTCCGGAAGTTGAAACTTTGAATTTATTATTTAATTAAATTGACAGATTAATATTCGCCAACTATTTCAGCCTTTTTTCCACTTATTTTCAGCAAACTCAATTTCTGTGGAGATATTATATTTTTTTGAGCGAAGTGACGGAGAGATATTTAATATTGAAAATTGGAAAATTTCTGATGATTAAATTTTGTGAGTTATAAAAGATAGATTTCATATTTATTCAAAAAATCCGTCATTAAAATTCGACACGATCAAAATGAAATGGATCACACACACACACACACAATCGAACATAGTGTAAGATCCAATCCGCATTGATCACCGATTATACAGAATAATATTATCAGTAATATCACGACAACTCGAAATATTTCCTCTTGATGTTCGCATAATATAACAAACCACTATCGAGATTGAAGCACACGTGGGCGTACTGGCGTAAATTTATATACAAGCAGAGAGGCATCGGCAAATCTTACGAAACTCCGGTTACGGAAATAGCAACACTCCCGCAAATACAATCCGATATCTTGGAACCGAATAACATCCCGCGTGTCTCTGGAAGAAAAGGAAGAAGATATCGCGTCTATAAGAATTCACGAGAGCGGAAGTGAATCGCATTAATACAACTAAAATCTTCCTCGGCCAGTTTATTTCATTCAGCCTCTGAGCGGCGGAATGATATCGATTGACTTGGTTCCAAGCTATCACACCGTCGTATCGATAATGTTATCGCGAGTGCCGACATATATAGAGACTGTAATCGCAAACATCGTAGTTAGATGCAATGATAGATGGACCACGACGAACAACGAGCTCTTTACTTCCGTTTACAGTCGAACCGTCGTAAAAGTTCGACTCAGACTTCAGTCGACGGGAAGACACGACAACGACGATTTTTACGCGCAAACGCGCTGTTTTACCTCCCGTGACAATAAACTCCCAGCGTAACTTCGGAAATGCCGCGAAGCGGAGAGGAACGCGTTGTAGTCGCGCGATCGCGGATAAAGGCGCCTTTTGGAAGACGCTTAAAGTCGGCGCGCGGGCGAAGGACGAGCGCGGAGCCGGGCGGAAGGCTTTAAACCGATAAGACAATGT